TGATTGGATGGCTCGGAGCAACTGGCCATCGATCTCATACGTTCGAGGCAAGTCCATAGATTGCTCCGTTAAATTCGGTCATGGGCTTTTTTTAAGTCTGCAATGCACATATAAGTCGGATGAGCATATTCCCGCGATTTCTCAACAGTCTGACGCAGTGCGAAGATTTAGTCAGAGGGACTTCGGCCTGACCTGAAGCGACATTGTCTTTCTTGTATCTCAGAGTCCGTTATTCAGCAACATTTTCTTTCTAACACTTCTATTTAAACTTTACCCGGGAATCTCAAAAAGTAATACTTCGATATATGGAGCTCTCACTATGGTCTTCCTTCTTCTTTTTCACTTTTTCACTTTCACTTTGGTTCACTTTTTCTTGCAGGGGCGTTACAGTTCTGTTCTCCAGTCAATTGCTGTCGTCTCCATGGCTTATCAGTTTGACACGTGTTAGCTACAATATGTTTTGTTCGCTTAAAGCTAATGACTAAGAACTTAAGAGCGAATTTCATCGATTCCAGCCGCCTTGCCAGTGTTCAGGCTTTTACAGCTTGTGTGATTTTTACCGAGATGCTAATATCCGTTTCCATCTGCTCTAGAAACGAGTCTTTCTGCGATTGCTCCGGGTTACAGAGTTTCTCATAGTACTTTCTCCATCACTAATAAATGTCATCATCCTCGTTAGGAGGGCGTCTACACTTCTTTCGGGACTCTTAAACTGCCTTTTTTTTCATCTCGGAGGTAGCGGATGGTTTGCCAGAATACCTTGTTTGTCGTCTGGAAATTCGACTACAACGCCTAACCGAACTTCTTTCAGGAATCAACTTTGGCTTTCCAAACTGCTTTCGCTGCCGTTTTGCACGCTTCTTCATATTGCATTTGTTTTGAAGACTCTTTGTTTCCAGACCATCTCTTGAATGCAGCCTTCTTCGCGGTGACAGCCAATTATACTTCTGGTAGCCACCAGTAAGTTCATTTCTGACCTCCAGGCAGCGGTCCAATCCGTTTTTTATCTGAACATTCAGCGCTGTTCTGAGTAACCGCAGTCTGTCTTAGTTCCCCAGTAATATGCGCGTCCCTTAGTAGCCCGGCGTTCGCATTGTTTCTCTACGGCATTCGCATTGTTTCTTTTCGTTTTACCCAGATCCACCAAACTTGGTCCTTTGATTCGTTTTGGTTATCTCTGAAAGCATCTCATATCGTGACTGCCCGTTCTGAACAGCACCACGAAGTACACCAAACGGTGCATGTCGAAATTCTAGCAGTTATGATGCCATGCGCAGATCAATTTTTATTTTTAATGAATTCAGGCTTATTTGCCAAAATTTGCAAGGTTTATTTAAAATTTTTGTTCTGGAATTATTTTATTTATATTGTCGATGCATACAATGCTGCCGCAAATGCTAATGATACACTGTTTGCATTCATCTAGTCATTTGCATTCGACTGCTTTCGGTAGGAAAGAATGATTTTCGGCTGCTCCATTATTTTCGATATGCGGTTGCCTACAGACTGCAGAGCTTTCATGCCTCTGGCTAGTGTGGTGGGAAATTTAGGTTTTGCTGTTTTGTAAATGTTGTATATTGCCTCACTGCAAAAAAAACAGAAATTCTTCGTAACTGAACTGTTTCGTCTGTCGCAGACTTCGTGGTGACAATTCGTAAAATTTTAAAGATAATTAGACATCAGTATACAGCAGAACCTGGGCGCACTTTGCGAACAGTTTCTCACTTCCTTTTCGGCATGACATGCATTCGTCTTTGCCGCCCTTTGCGTTCCGTGCGGCATTTCCTGCAACTTTATCGTATAAATAGTAGCTTTGACTTTTGTCTTGTCAGGTAAAATCCTATGGCAGTGACCTTCAGACCTGTATTCTGACCTTTTTCATTGATTGGCAATCATGATGGCAATCAGTTTCGTCTTTCAGTGTGCAAACCACACGTTTGCGGGATGATTATTTCAGCGTATCAGTAGGAGGAAATCGGCTCTCAATGATATTCAAATAAGCATTAGCTATCCGGTCAGCGAATTGTCACGAACCATAAGGCTAGGGGGTCAGCATGGATTGAACTAGTCATACTCGCTGAACTTTAGAACAATAAAAAATATGAGATTCCCTCCACAGTTCCTGTATTTCTGTTGCAGAATAACTGTCGGCAGTTTCAAATGTGCCGATTCTTGTTGTGTATTGCTTTTCTGCATTAAAATTTTGCTGCGCTTCAGATCAGGCTGTTAGCAGTTGTCATTTGAAGCTGACTGAGCAGCAAGGCAATTTGGACTTGTGATTTATCTCGGTTTTAAATGACGACTCAGCTTCTCGCTAAGCGACGTCACTAGAAGTGTAAGGTTCATGTTTCGTCGCATTAAGCTCTGCTTCATTTGACTCTGCAACCAGGTGGTGGTTTCTAAAACCGTTTTGAGCCGAATTCGAACATGCTCAGCACCGGGTCTGTGATTTCTCATACCACTTGTCATCAGCACTTCGTCACTCATGACCCTCTTGTAACGTCTCGCTTTGATGATACATCTATCCAGTGTTGTTTGAAGATGTAGAGACGAGCTTCATGGTATTTCAGAACAGAAATGAGCACCCCCGAATATTGTTACTTCAAGAGGGTTTTCACTGCTGTTTTTATAATTTGATCTTTCCATACTTGATTTAATTTTCTGAAATTCTATGATGCTCTTCCGATGCGGCGGTTAATTTCACAGTCAGTACCGCCATCGTTAGAGAGTTTTTACCTAATACCTATGGAACGCAATAGACGGCACCTTGAGGCAGGAGGATT